TATTTTGCACTGGTAGAGGCTAATGCTCCACCGAGTGTCCAGTTTCACCGAATCTTCGATGTCATGCGCGCGTCGCTTATGCGAGCTAATTGTATAAACTTGAGTCAAACAACAAAAGGAACCATTAAAACCATATGTGTTTTTGAACTTTTTTCAGATCCTGATGAGAACAACCGTTATTTTGGTTGTACTAGTCGGTGTCGCACTTGTTTCAGCTCAGTGGGGTGAGCTCTTCTGAAAATTTATTTTTTTTCCAGTGCTCGTGCTTTGTTTTTTTACACTTTCTTTATGCTATATAGCTACTGACATTCAGTCGAGGACACATAAATCTGCGCTTACCGCCTCTAGTAGGCAAAATTCGACAATTTAACAATTCAAACGCATGATCAAGCGAATATCGCTAAAATGAATAGTGTCAATAACGGAAAGGATGAAGAGTTAGAAATCGCATTGTTTAACATTGAATTAGTGATGACTAATTCTCAGTCGATCGTCGAAATGCACTAAAAAAAGCTATTGTTTGAGAGAACGTAATCATTCATTTTACTTGTTGCTCAGAATTATCTCAAACCTAAAGAAGCTTGGCAGGTGACAATTGATGGTTATCGGCTGCCTTCTTCTCCAAACTAAAACCTCGTTTATGACGCAACTCAGAGAACTATAGCTCTTGATTGCCATCTTTTGCCGACATTTGCAAGTGTGGCTATAAGCAATATACGATCTTTCGTCGGGTAAGAAAATGAGAGGTAAGTAAAGGAATAAAGAGAGCTAAATATATCCTTAATCAGCGTTTTATTGGTCAAACATATAATCCATGAACCAGGGGCAGAATGTGTTTCTGATCATTAGAATATCTCTTGATGAAGGGGCGCGCGACGCGCCACATCTGAAATTCCCAATTCCTCGATCACACATTCAATCCCACGCATTTTCTGATTAACTAAACAACCACAGTCAAACAAGCAGCTGACAACAACCCAGAACAAAGAAGCTAGCATTTAAGAGTGTAGCCCTGACGACTAATTTCAATTGAGCTCCTTCTTAAAAGGAATCTTCAGTAATCGTCTGCTAACTCCGCCGCCTCGCCACGGTGCGTGTACCTCATTCCTCCACCCACCTCCTCCTAGGCCTGGAGCACCTCCTCCACCACCCCCTCCTCCTCCACCGCCTGGATGTCCTCCGCCTCCGCCTCCGCCTCCACCTCCTCCCCCTCCACCTCGTAGTGGTGGATGGTCTGGCAGAAGCGGTGGTGGATGGTCTGGCAGAAATGAATGTATGTTCTTGGAGAATTTTTGCACCACTTCCTATTTAGGAACTGTTTCATGAATATTTGCTTTTTCAGGGTGGGGAAGGTAGAAAATGTCAATGCCGAGACTCGTTGGAATATTCTGCTCCGTTGCGATTAAAACACACAGTTTGCAAAATTTCACCATTTTGATCAATCTTGTACAGTTCATGTTGTGTGAATGTATGCATAAGAATTTTACCATTGGGTTTTAGTTCAGATTCTACGAAATGAGTAGTACAAAGCCTACGGATCGGAGTCAGCTCAATCGAAACTCGAAACTGTATGAAAGCTTTATTTTACAGTTCCTAGAAAGTTGGGCTTCATCGTAGCAAGTGTGCTTGTGATCGAGTGGTCGAGCGTCGATGAAAGTGAGAACTTCGTATAATAGCGATGACTCCTTGCATATTCATAATTTTTGATGATAGCGGTACCATCAGTGTATAGTAATAATCTGCAAGAAATTCCGAGTGGACTGCATCAGCGAAGGCAGAGCTGTTTGAAGAATCGCTCTCAGCCATTCCCTTGCATGAAACGTCGTGAACGATGCTCTTTCCTCCTAGCTAGAAGTACTGGATTGTCCAGAAGACACTTTTTTAGCGCACATTCGAATGCTTTATTGTTGGGTCACATCCAAGAAAATGCTAACACTCATGCATCGTTAGGAAGCGCGTTCCTCGCTCTATCCAATCTACTGTTTTTTTCACACTGAATCACCTTTCCACTTTTTTGAAGTCTTGAATACAACATACTCAACAGCCTGCTTTGCACTAGTTTCTTGTTTCCCCTCAAACTTGCTCGGAAATGTGCGGAAGCAAGTTGCGATATCAACTAAGCATTTGGTTCAGAGTCCACAAAAATACGCTGTGCAGTCGTAATTCAAAATGTCTTTCTCGCGATGTTGAAGAGAGATTAGTGATATCGGAGACTGATAAAGATCAGCTGAGGGTTTTGACCGAATCAATCTGCATGAAACTGTTGACAGGCTGCTTTGAATTGTAACCGACATAAGATTTCCAAACATAGCGGTGAGGGTAAAAAGCCCAAAGAAGTCGAAAATTGGGTGCCGCCGGCTCTTGACCCACTGTTGCGCAACCCATCTCGGACTTTTAGCACTGCAAAAGGTGAACTAGCTGAGCTATGAGATTGTGCTTCCAACATTTACACACTAAACCTATTGCTGTCAACTGTCACATTTTCAACCATCTGGAAGGTTCTAAGAAAGATTGAACATTGAAACCCAACTTGGTGGTTGAAAGATCCTTCGCCGATTTACTCCCAGACAGTCAACATCCGATATTAAATCATTCTCTTTTAGCAAAGTTGTGGATTGTAACAGTTCTTCAAAAGAGCTTGTTAACGAAGATATGCGTGTTGAATTTGAGATGAAAATCGGCGAACTCTCTGAGCAGTTCAATATTATTAATAAGATAACTGCCGAGAGCAGGACACTTAAAAAAAAATAATTTGATGTTTCCTACATTCGGTCTTTCTACTTTAGCCATACAGATTTATGTCCCTGTCAACGCCGGGGACCTTCTTTAATGCGCAGCTTCTATCCTCCGCTACGTCGTTCCCTTGACACAAACCTCCTGTAAGTTCGGTACTCAACAATGTGTTTCATACAGTAGAAGGACACAATCATGATATGACGGTAGATTTTTCGCTTCCCTCCTCCCTTCCTCTCTCCACTGCCCTCCAGCTGCCACTGCAGCACCATGTGGAATGAACGGAAGTGTGCTAAGCAGGTGTTTATATAGCCCTAAGAGTGTTATCACAACTATCCCTGCTACAAAACATTGATATCTCAAATCCTGTAAGCTACCCGATTTGTTAGCGGTTTGTTTATCCCATGAGCTTCCTTCTCACTCACTTCATTTTGCGGACGGACACACATACACACACACACACACACACACACACATACAGATACACAAACCGACACACAAAGTTAGCGCTTATATATAGAAGGATCTCTTATATTTGATAGAGGCTAAGGGTGCTATCGAATAGTACAGGATAGATTCACTCACGTGCTCACGGCCTAGGTTAACGGCCCTATGTTACGATGTGATATTTCTTTACAAGGTAATTTAATTATCTTTAAATGTAACGCTTTGTAAAATTAAAAGATGTCGCACGATGAAATTTGAGGCGTTGGATCCGAATCATTGCGAAATTAATAAAAGTGGAAAAGGTTCCAAATGCCTCAAGTTAGATACTTGAGAGGATCTTGGGATTACTTACAGAATGTAATAAACAATGTGAGACTTCAAAATTTTATTGCAAAAGACTCAAAACTTTCTACAAAAGAAATTGCAAAAATGTGTGTTTGCAAAAGTTTTGCAAAAGTTTAGGCCTTTTTGGCGAGCTTTCGGCGCTTAGCGCCTTTGTCGAGCCTGAAATGAAAATCAAAAGCTTTCTCAAAGACACACATCGCAGCCCGCGTGCATCACCGGGTATGCACGTCGAAACTCCTACATCTGACATTTGTGCATCGCCAGGCATGCACATCTGTATTTGTCCCACATCTCTTCTTCGAACATTTGACTTATGTTAATCTCGCGAATGTCTACAATTTCAATTTCAATAAATTTATGACGCTATCAAAGAGCAAGTCACTCTGAGGGATTTTGCTTAGCCTTCTTTCGTGCAGCCAAACTCGCAGTGGGGTACGCCCTTAGTGAAATAAGTGCTTTGCGTTGCCTGACAAAAAAAAAAGATTAGATAAGTTGCGCAGAATTTCACACCAGTCTGCCTGCATTGTCCAAAATGGTGCTACTATAGTGACGGTATTCAAAAAGGCTCCCAAAAATACGTACGAAACAAAGCTAAACGCTTATTGAACTTATAAACACGTAATGACAAGCAAAATGAGAAAAGAATTACGATTCGTATACGAAAACGAAAGCTCTAACGCCCTTTCAATGGATCGGCTATGTGGGTCCCGCAACGAAAACCCACAAAATGTCCCACATATGAGATTTGTGCATCGCCGAGTATGCACGCACGCAATACGGCCAATGACACATGTGTGACATGCGCCGAAATCGGCGCGGGCGTCAATGTGTTAAAGACTGGGCGTGGTGAAGAGGGTATAAGGCGAGAGCTCAACAGGTGGGAGAGTTTCAGACAATAGCATGGTGCGGAGGCGGAGAATTGAAGCTTATGCTGCCCACGCACTCACGGTCCTTCCGCCCATGTCTGGTGCCACAATTTCAGCTCCATCATTAGGCAATTCTTCATTAATTGGGAGAAACAGTGAACCATCACAGGCAGAGCTCGGAGTAGTACTTTCTTATAGCTTTCTCGTATGGCCTCTAAACTCTTTAAGAATTTGAAACATTTCAAAGTTATCCTTGACACAGTGCCAGAAAGCGCTCAACGCCGCGCCATATTCATTTCGGCTACCTTGCACATTGATCTCGTAGGATAATTCCGCAATCATAAGCAGTCGGTTCCAGCAGCCTCCAAATTTTATTAGGATGGTAGACCAAATGCAGGGAGGTTCGGCAGTTGTCAGAAGACAAAACTGCTTCTCCATGAAGCAGTAATCATGGGATGGCAGGGAATTTCCTCACACATACAAATATATGTACTATGAACCCCTGACACGTGAAGTTATAGCGCAACCGAATCGATGGATAGCCAAATATTGGGCTATAGTCGCAAGAAAATCTTACGCTTTTCTTTACTCAGTAAAGATCAGCAATCAAACGGAATCGATCACACATTCGCCACTGCCCCAAGTGAATACATTCACAGCGCCGCATTTCGCTATGTGATTTTTTGACGAGTATGGTGCTGCTCCTCCAATAGTACCGGAACATTTGCTTTGCTTTACGTCTGGTTCCCAACCGTTCCAATTATTAGAGGACATATAACCCTAAAACATCGATGTATTTTATTAGCCACTGGTTGTTTCATAATATTACCTTGACATCAAACCATCCACGTTCGGTCTTCGCACAATCCATAAGTAGTTGGACCATCCAGTAATCGTTACCGTATTTGTTATGGGGTTGGTACTCAACGACCTCTGGATCATTTGATGAAAACGCAAGAGGAGTTCCGAAGGCCTTACGACCGTTGTAAGTAGCTGTATGAAAATAAAACAGTTCCATTCTTCTTGGGATATCGCTCTCAAACGAGTTCCCCAAAATTCTCAAAACTCGATAGCCTGCTATCCACCGTCCGCAAAATCAACGACAAAAAGTCATGTCAGACTCAATGAGGATAGCACGTAACCCTTTAAACGGAGAATGCTCATGATAGGAAAGTTCTTTTCATTAGACCTGCTGACTTCAGAAATTTCAGAACCTTTTCGCCCCCTTGCTCTTGTTATCTATTACATTTCGGGGAATATGAAATTTGAATGATTTTGTGGTGTAACGCATCAACGATGTTTACGACCAAACTTCGAAACTTTTCAATGAGTCGTTTCATTTCTACGATTGAGTTGCCACGAAGATCTTTGAGAAGGCGACTACGATAAAGATAGCAGCGTACACGATACTACAATGCTCCCACAAGCAGTTACTCTGACTGCTCATGTAGGAGATTTGGCTTCCTGACAAGGTTTGACAGGACTTCGAAGTCCGCCCAAAAGTCACCCACACATTTAGTTGTATTTGGACCAGCTGTGCTGCCAGTAGCGACACAAATGGAGCGACACAACTGGAGCATGGATTGGCATTGGGCCACCAAACGCGTTGCGGTAAACTCGTTCATCCATCCGCTGTTTGAGCCGTTACCCGTTCACTGGCGAAAATCAACGGCCACAAAAGGGGATCCCGTTCCGCGCGTTCTTTGCGATTTGCTCTGCTATACTGCTAGGAGATATATCCCTAATGCAGAGGAAGGCTGAATCCTTGAAGGCGCAGGTTGCCCACAAGAATCAACTTTCTCCGCGTGCGAGAGTCGTACACTGTTAGATGGCAGCAGGTCAGTTCCATACGTTGCGAAGTACCCAACGGGGAGGGGCGTAATTTTGTTGGGTTGGGATTGGGGGTAGCACTTGTAACATATTTCGGCAGCACGAACCCCCCCTCTAACATGGTGTAAGTGGAAATGTGGTAAATATATAGGGAAACTAGAGAAATGAAGGGAAATATAGAATTTTTGCGTTTTCATATTTTATACTTCTCCATCGACGACTGTTTTTTGAGCGTAAAAGAAGGTCGAAGAGTCTAAAATCTTTCAATGAAGCGGGGTCGTAAAAAAATTTTTAAACGCCCCAACGTCAGGTTGAAATTTTGAATTGCGTCCATGACCGCGCTTGGCTTCGCCTGAGGGCTTACCGATGCATTTCATCGTTCGTCGCTATGCTACATATGATCTGCCATGACCTTTCCCTCGCGTATCCTCTTCTTACCCCTCAAGGTATTTCGACTTCACAAAAGTAGTTTTTCTTTCAAGTGATTCCTTCGGTTCCTTTTGCTTCTTTTCTCCTCGCTTACGATCTTCCTTCCACTTCTTGTTACATTTTCATGCGGAATAAAGCAACTCGATCGCAGCCCTGTCGTCCAGCGACCAAGATATGACGGCCGAGAACGGCACGCATGCAGTAGCCCAACAAGGCTTTACACGTGGTCGAGAGATCACCTTCGGATGGCAGAATGATAACGGAAGGAGGCTGGATGCTTACAATTATCGTCATCGCTCATCGTCCACATTCCATTTTGGCAGAGCATTCCATTTGCAGCAAAATACCATCTAGTTTGTTTAGGTAATGTGTTACCAATCAGAGCATGATGTTTGTAGGCGTTGGTCTGCTAGCGGGATGAACCCGCCCAAACGATCAAGTCTTGGTCGCTAGCCCGAAAGCGGGAGTCCATAGGGAGACACCCATTTCACGAGCTTCGAACCTATTTTCCTTATTTTTTCCTTCACCACTACATCACCTCCCATATCTATTTACATTCATTTCCCAGAGCTACGATTTATCCTACAACTTGGTTTCAAGCAAACAGAAACTAGTCGAACTAACCTTGTCCCCGTTCGCCTCCTTCAAAGTCCAAATATTTGTCTCCATGGCTCCACGAGCGATATGCATCATAAATGTATGGTACGGTTGTATTGTGTATTATTGGAATAGCACATGCGTCAGTGTCTTGCTGGAAAGGACCCGGAGCGCAGACTGAAAAAAAACGGTTACTTGCCAGTAACTCAGTGCAAACTGACTGCATATCACCGTGGTTGATCGTGTTTCCACCGCGGAGGAAGACGTATTCGGTTGGATGAGTGGACCTTCTCAGGAATATTAGCGTTTTCTTATAGGCAGACTGTACCACAGGGAGTTCTCCTGAAGCATACGAACGAACTGCTCAACAGTGACCAGGCTTTCCACAGTTAGAAAGAAAATATCACCTTTTCGAGAAGCCAGAGAGAAGGCTACAGCTTCGTTGTGGTTGATATGAACGAAAGCATGTCCTAAATGGCTGAAATTTCCCCACATCTTTACTGAATTCGTTACCAATACGTTTCCAGAAAAGAACCAAGAAGTGATGTTACATTTTTTGCATTTTCTGCCAGAGCAATTAGAAATAGAAAAATAATATTCCAAAGCTGCAAAGACTAGAACTGGTAAACTATTGGCTGGCGGATTGGTCACAATCGATCATAGGAACGGTACAGGCTTCAGTGAAAGGGTGGTGGTTCGTTCCGCTGTCCTCCTCCCTTCACCCTCCCCTCATCCGTCCCTGCTCGCCCTCCGGCTGTCTTTGCAGCCCCAGGTCGAAAGTTACTCAGTGGTGTTTATGTAGCATTTGTGAGTGTTGGCACAATCATATCCTCACGAAACATTGATGGAGTTGCCCCGACAAGAAGCACAAAGTACTCTATTACTTGATTACTTTTTGATCAACCTAACAGCAGCAACTACTCG